CATTAGAGCTTTCGAGTAGATAATACCAAGTACTTCAGCAGACTATAAATCCCATAACTTATGTAAAATGGAAACTTGAGCATATATGCTGCAATAGTGAGTATTCCCAGATTTTACCACAGCGTAATATTACTTTTTTGCACCCATATACTAATCACTTTTTCTAGAGTAAGACAGAAAAACAGCAGCATTCAATGATTATCAGCATCTCAGCAGCTCTTAAACTTAATAAAAAATAACAAACTATCTGGTGGTTATAAGTTATTCCTTAGTTGAGAAACAAAGGGGGAAAGCCTATCAAGATCCAAACATTTATCCATTAGTCTTTTCTGAATTAGTCTGAGAATCCCTTATCCCGAATTCCAAAATCTGAAATTGCACATGAGTGGCTGAGATAGAAGACTTTTGCTTTCTGATAGTTGAGTGTACACAAACTATTGGGAAGAAAACTATCTTAAATCTAAGAAATATATTAAACGTAAATGTTTAAACTTGGGTTCCATCTCCAAGATATCTCATTATACACAGATATACAAATACAGGTATTTCAAAATCTGAAAATAATCTAAAATCAACATCTTAAGTATTTCAGATAAGATATATTTAACATATACTTCTAGGTTTTGTTAGTTATTGTTCTGGAGCAAAATTAGCTTGACCTTATGCAGTTGGGTTCATCTTCTGGTGTTGTGTTTTACTCAAAGCTTGGAAAGAGTACTTGGGAGGAGCATGGTAGTCTTGTATTTACCAACAGCATACATCTTACTTCCAATATACACATTGGCTTTGGGCCACAAAGATCTTGCTGAGACCTATTCTAAGCAAAAGATGTGCTGACTTTCCCATCAGTTGGTGCTGAAGTTCCTTATCACAACTCTATGATGCCTCCAAACTCATAATTTGTTTTATTTCACAGCTGTTTCTCACTGTTTCTAGAGATTTGGTGCCTCCCTAGTTTGAAATTCAAAAGGTTCTAGAGACCTCATGTAACTCTGAAACACATATGCCCAAACCAGATAATCTATCCCACATCATAAACCCTATAAATCTCACAATAAAATGTATCACTAAACCTAAATAATGCAGGAGACCTAATTCTGATGTAAAGAGTACAGACAATTTCATGGCAGTTCAGGACAACATGGTGCTTCACCTTAGGAACATAACTTTTGCAAGAGAAGTATCCTAAAGTCAGGATGATGTATTATTGATGTTCCTTAAGCTTAGACAGTTCAAGCTATTGTGATGTCGAAAGAAAGTCACTCTTCAGCAACATCCTCCCCTTCTGAGCTGGCTGCCAATTGAGAGACTTTGCATGTTTGGCGCTGATTTAAAATAAAATAAAATAACTAATAATCATGTTAAAATGTTTTTTTTTTAAAAAAAAAATCTGTCTTGGTTCAGCATAAGATCTTTTGGTTGTCATCTGATTGCTGTACCCAGAATGAAGCTTTCATGTCATTATTGAATTTGTTCTGACAGCTTTTCTATATTTAACAAATAATCATAACAGTATCATTAGTGTATGTCATCCAGTGATTTTATTTATTTTCTAATCAAAAAGATGGCTGCCTTTGGTATGCACATTTTATAAATAAGCCCATTTTAGTACAGAACCAGATAGCTAGATATAAAACCTCCCAAACATAATCAGTTTGAGAACCAGCATGACATAGGGTTTTGAGTGTTGGACTACACTGCTGGAGATCAGGGTTCAAATTCCTGCTCTGCCATGAAAACTCACTGGGTGCCCTTTGGCTTGCCATAGGCTCTCAGTCTAATAGAATGGCAATGGCAATCCTTCTCTGAACAAACCTTGCCAAGAAATTCCCATGGTAGAATTCATTGAGTCATTCATTCGAGAGTCATTGTAAGTCCAACAATAGAACAATAATCATACCAGGGAAAACATGGAAGTTATAGCCAATGCATTGATGCAAGGTGTCCATGCTCCTTCCCCAATACACTTTGGGAATAATGTGTGTGCGGGGGGGGGGGGTCCCTACTCTGCTGGAAGCCTCCAAGAGCAGCAGTTTTGCATTTGAACAAATCACAGCCCCCCTTTCCACTTAGCCCTTCTAAGCCCATATCCATAATCCTCAAAACCAGGAATGGTGTTATGCTCACTTCCATTATGTGGCTTATAAAGGGCCCTTTCACAGACTGCCTTGTGGCCTGGGGCTAGAGAATCAGACCCTCTAAAGATTCCCACTCCTAATGTGGCACCTCCCCCAAATTAAGGAGATGAGCAAAAGAATATTTATCAAGTATGGGAGGAAGCATCCAGGTACACTGGAGTGATTTTTGTTGAGCCAGAAGACCTGTTTGGTTGCAAGAGATTGAAGTTAGTTTGACTAAAATGAAAAATGCTACAGTTAATAATCAAGGACATACCTTTATAAACACAGATAATACAACTTTTTGAGACTGAATGACAGAAGGCCAGATATAGTTACACCACCAAAGGTTTTCTCATTTCAGGTACATTATATACCTCAATCATGTAGTAGTAGCAACATACATCATTTTCCCACTATCAGATCTATTCTCAAGACATAAGCAGTTCATAACCCCTGCAAAATGCTAGCCAAGACCTTGAGAAAATGAGATAACACAGCAAAGAGAAATTGCTTCTAAACCTCACTTTCAGAAAGAATGCAGCACACTTCCATTGTGAATATTCCAAGGCAATTTGTGTGTATTCCCATTGTAAGTACATGCACGTTACAAGACGTAATTCTTTTTCAAAGATATGCATGCGCTACAGTACAGGATGTATTGAAAGAGTTTGCAGAGAAAATGTCCTTCAAAGGTCTTACATGCATCGTATTTAAGGAAGATTGTTCAGGCTAGCCATTTAGATTTTCTTCTACATATGCTGTTCAAGTGTGTGAAACTAGGAACGGATGGCTTCCTGGTTAATTGGGGGGGGGGTGTGCTCTGGGTTTTAGTTTGAACTTTAAATGAACTGTAAAGGAAGTGCTATACCAAGTGATGACCTATATTCTCCAAGGAGGCCCAGAACCTTGGATAGCTCCTTTTACATTCAGAGCCAATTCATCACCACACCAACATGGGCACCACTAGCTGCCTCTGCTGATTGAGCTATAAATGAAGGTGAGCTAAAAGACTGAGAGAAGTGAGCAGCTTAAAAAGACAGACCAGTCACAGCACTTATATTTTCAGAAAGCTTGAGGAGTAAGCTGGAATAAACACTGTGGGATATTTAGGACCCCAATAGTGTGAGAGAACCAGGAGCTAGAAGGCAGACTGGTCTGATATTTTCTATCAGCTTATCCAGAGCTTAAGTGGCGCTCCACTCCTTAAATAGAAGAACTTCCCTCAGAAGACCAGCTAGTCTTCAATACAGACAGCCTTAGACACAAAAGGCTAGAAAAGGAAGCAAGAAGAATTTTAAGGATGGGTTAGTGGGTCAAGCCAATTTGGACTACTTTAAAGTGCTAAGCAATCCCCCTCACTTCCCTACACAACAAAGCCCCTGCTGTTACTTTGTTCCCATCACCGTCTTAATCTCATACCTCTCTGTCTAAAATGTCTGTTTATGTGATGGCAGAGAAAGGTATAAGAGAACTTGAGCTGATAACTGAAATGCCACCCAGATGCTCCTGCAGATTTTACCAAGGTATTGCCAGTTGATGTGGCCAACTTTTTAGTTTTTAAAAAACCCATTTCTAATTATTTGTAAGGAAAAGTACTAGCAGTTAATTTATTTCGTGATTCCTTGAACAAAAAGTTACATCAGGTAAGAATGTCACACAGAGTTGAATTCATTCATTCTCCACAGGTTGGCCCATCTAAACAAAAAAAGCAAATATGCTACATAAAGGAATTAACAAACCAAATCATGTTTCCCTTAGCCACACACCTGAAGGAAGATCAATACCTTGCTCAAGAACACTTGTTCTTGAAAACTTGCAATGTCCTTTAGAGATAAATGCTTATCAAGACAACTGAATGATTACCCAACAACACAGCTTCCATCCAGAAAGACTTGTATGGGTCCACTTTTATCTGAAACAATATTCTACACATACAGGATCTGCAGATAATCATAGGAGACTGAAGGTGGTATGACTGCTTATGACAGGGCAAGAAGTTCACATTTGGGATGTATGAGAGATACTCATCACTGTTATGTCTCTCCTCACTGCAAGCACTCATCTGCTAACCTACTTTATTCCAGCTGCAGTATCACTATTATTGATGCCACTACCCAGCGTAGGTGGCCACTTCATTACATGCATGTCAGTGATGTACACATTGATCAGGTAATTCTAGGTCATAGAACAAACAAGTCCATTAGCTCAGACAAAACACCTTTAAAACAAATGAGTCCTGTTTAAATTCATCTCATTTGAGATCAAATAGAACAATCATCCATGCCATGACATTATCCATGCATAAGTTTGGGTGGAACAATGAGCTCCCGGTTTCTGTGATAATATTTAAACAGGCATACATTTTAACAAAACAGATGAAGGACAAAGCAAAACAGATTTGCTCCATTATAATTCACCAAGTGGTTTAGATAGAAAAAACCAAACTGAGAACCATTCTATATATTATGCATAATAAGATGGTAGACTGAGATGGCAACTGTGCCTTTCAAACTGAAGGCAAGGGCTCTACATTTCTAATCCCCTCCCTCACATAAAAATCATGTGATAAACTACCACACCATAGAGTTGGGCATGTTAAACCCTCTTCTCTGATGAGTGGTTCTGTGTAGAGGTATTTTTCCCCAGTCTGGTAGAAAATTGAAATACGTACAACAGCCCCCGCCCCCACCCCCATTCTTCTTTCCAAAGTGGTATAGCCCAGAAGTCTGCCACCTCAAGTTGATCATGTTGATCTGCAGCATGCTTAGAACACTCCCAACTTTCCATTTTTACCATCATGCACAGGCCCAAAGTTTGGAGCAAACAAATCTCTTTTGAGGGAATAGAGGGTGGGGGGTTCCCACACATGTACATACTCACCCAGAACAGGAGGTTGAAGACAAACATGAGGTACTTAATGCACTGCAGGCAGTTGTGAGCCATACTGCACCTCTTCAGTTCTAGAAGAAAAATAAAGGAGAGATCCAAGTAAAAGACCACATACTTGTTCCCCTTGGGGGATGTGTATTTAGCCTTGGTGGCCTTAGGACCTGGGTTGGTGTGGAATCCAAAAAAAGAGTTGCTTGCAGCCCCAAACTGGCCACCATACATGCTGCTGTAGCGACGGAAGGCGCCATTTGGAAAACTGTAATCCTTGCTGTCCAAAGATGGGCTCCTGTGATAGGTAGATTCATCTGTGCTAGATCTGCGCATTGTGACGTCAAAAAAGTGTTCCACAATTATTATTGTCAACAATATTTGTAGGATTATTTTACTGGAGGGTGTGTTATAGACCACTTCCTTATTTGGCTTCCCCTCCTTATTGCTTTCTGCCAGCTGTTCTTTTGCCTGCCATCCTGCCAAGGAATACAGTGTGTAGAGAAAGCTTCCAGTGGGCTAACAAGAACCTTGCCCAGCCAGGAGTTGGGAAATACAACGTGCTTACTTGCTGAAAAGTCTCTCCTGCACAGGAAACATTCCCTTTGGTGGCACAGTCTCCCCCTTCCTCTGCTACCAAAAAGAAGGGGTTAACAGAAGAGGAAGAAGAGAGGAAGAAGATACTATGCCCCCCAAATTATGTTTGTTTTGTTTTGTAAAAAAAGAAAAGAAAAGGAAAAAATAGATAAGATCCTGCTTTTTATCCCAAGTGCCATATAAAGCCTCTGCTCCACATTGCCCCACAAAAACCGAGGATGCTTCACAGAACGGAGGCTAAGAAGCGAGATGATCCACACAGCAATGAGCTCCCATGCCCTGCTCCTGCTGGCCACATTGCTCTGCCCAAAGACGATTCGGCTCACTTTAAAACGGTCTCCCCATCTCCCCTGTGCCCAGAGGACAGCTACGACAGGAGAAAGAAAGAAAGAGCTGTCAGTGCTTCATTCACAGCGCCGTCACTCCTGTGAGATTCCAGTCCGGTCATGCTCTCTCTGTGCTACTAACACACAGGCACCGCACTCTGGTCGGTTCCTGCATCTGAAGCGAGCGGCAGGGGGAAAGAGGCTTTTCTTACTGTATCTCATGAATGCCTGCTCAGCACTCTCTCCGAGCTCATGGCCCCCTCCCACAGCCAATCAAATTTACTCGCACGCTGCACTACTCCTCCTCATCACCTTCTTTAAAATAATAAAATAAATAAAAACCAATCCTCCTTGGCTTCTTCACAGCAAATCCAGCATGAGCTGCGTTTAACCAATCAGTGTGTGGGTGCAGAAACTACCGTGTATATGTCTTAGATTTCACTGGAGTTGTTTCTCCAGGTAATTGTAATCTTACTTCATCCTTCCCATACTGGTGTACAGAGTTAGTGTTGTTGTTTTAAGTATCCCAAATGACATTGGTATTTCTTGGATTTATCGTTCCCTTGGGAGCCATCATGGGATTTAGAGATATTTTAAGTGTAATCACTCTGCAAAACAAGGGAGTGTATTATACTCTTACATTTGTTGCTGGCAAAAAACCCTACTAAGCTTTCTTTGATATTTTGCTTTCCCACCCCTTCCCGGCCCCCTTCTTCCCCCCCCCCCCCCCACACATTTCAGCTGACATCCCTGGGATGCTGCTGATGTGATCCCCTACTGTGGGGGACTTCTATGTTTCCCTTCTCATTCTTCTAATCTGACAGGTCATTCACTTGACTGTTTTGACAGCTCTGGGGTTTTTTTTAACCCATCTCTGATCCCCACAGAGTAGGTTTCAAGCAGCATCAATTCAGTGTCATAGGACAGCGCAATTATCAAGGGTGCAGAAAATGCCTCCTGTTCTCTACACACACAACGCACATGCACACACACGTACACAGAATGCCTCATATAGTGCTTAGGCATTGGAGAGCAAAGGGGAATGACCCAGCTTTAAATCCCCACTCAGCTATGAAGCTCATGGGGTGACCTTGAGCTGATCATCATCTTTTAACCTAATGTACCTGTATGAATAAAGTATGGTAAGGGAGAAAAGTAGTCATACTGCTTTGAGTTCCTTGGAGGAAAGGTGAGTTCTCAATGCAATCAGTCAGTCAAACCAACATGTACATGAACTGTACAGTAACACTCAAGCTGATCCTTATTAGCCTCAAGAGTGTGTTGCAATTACTTCAAGCAAGTTCACTTTGAAGGGTTGATAAAGATGTGGATATATTTCCTCTTTAGAAGACCTAAGAGGGGATGCTGCTCCTCACATCTAGATTAATGCATTGCAATCCATACACTCAAATTGAACGTGGGCATGTGGGATGGGTTGACCTCAACCAACACCTGTCTCTGCACACAATTGTATTTTCATGCTGATTGGGCACAGCACAAGAAAATACCCCTGGGATAGAAACATTAATAAAAACCTCATGACAATAAGACCTGTTCAACAGTGGAATGTGCTGTCTTGGAGTGTGATTGTTTTTTAAAAGACAGAGGCTAGATGTCTCTCTGTCATGAGTGCTTTGATTATGTATTCCTGTATGGTAGGATATTGGGCTGAATGGGCCTTGTGGTCTCTTCCAGTTATGTCACAGAAGACTGGAGAAAGTTCCACTATGCAGCATGACACCATGTGTGACAAATTATTATTTATTTTATAGCAAACATTGCTATGGCAGGTGATGTAGCTTAGGGTGGCAGCTCTAGAGGCAATCTGCCTCTGTCTAGCAGGCCACGCCGCCACATTTTGGTGCGCCCAAAAGTGATGCAACATCACTTCCGACTACAATTTTGACTGATTTGAGGCCAATTTCTTTTCTTTGTTTGGTGGGAGGACTAGGGGGCTCTGGGTTGTAAAGGAAACCAAACTGACATGATTTTAGGTAGTTCTGGGAGATTTTGATTAGTTTCTGAGCAAAATGTTACCCCCAAATCATCCCCAAATGGTAAGACTCGGGGCTTTGAGAAGCTTCTGGAGGAGGGGCTTCAGGGATACTAGGGGTGCCAAGCATTACATTCTATCTATGGACCATGCTATGCCCACACCTGCCTTAGGGTCTCCATTCAGACAGTGATATACATTCAGAATTATTCAGGTTGCGGACAAAAATGTCAGAAGGCAATACAGGGGAAGGGGAATCGTGGATAAGGATAATATCATTAGGAGAAATATTTCTTTAAGGCTGTACCAGATTTCTCTTTTTTCTTCAATCTCTGAAATTGGCTATGCTAAAACCATCTATGAGGATTCTCCACATAACAATATAGTCAGAATGATGCTCAATATTCTCCCTTGTCTGCATAATTTAAAGGCACACTCCTCACTTCAGGGTATTTCACAAGTGCTATATGCATGTGCATCTTGAATATTTTCCCCCACCACATTTATGTAAGCTTCAACAGGAAATCTGTGAGTCTGTAGTGACCCATGTCTTTCTGGCAGAGAGTGCCCTGGGTTATATTTCAAGTGCAGGAACCTTTTGGGTGATTGGCACTGAATGCTCACAATTCATAGTCCAATGGCACACTGATATTCCTTGATAAGGAATCACTTTGATAGTATACCTAGTGCATGAAATATATCATGAGGAAGAAGGAACTAGGAACTAGTTAGCAATTTAAACACTTAGCTGCAGAAAGAATATACATACGATGAAAGCAGATTAGTTGCCTAACTCATCTTTCTTAGGGAAACCCATACTGAGATCTCTATTCAATCCAACATCAAAATTGAGAAAGTCAAATGCATATGATTACAAACCACTGCTTCAAGGTCATCCTCACAAGTCACCCACTTGCTTGAACTACAAGAAATTTATAAAAATGACAGGCAATCATCTGCTACTCTCTTTCTTGAATTCACACGAGCATACAAACACCCCAGTACATAGTGATTCTAATACTGATGCTACCCTGTGATGAATATGCAAGATAAAAAGATCCTACAGAGCAAAGAGTAAGTTACTAAGTAGACTCTTCCACTTCTCTTGGTGTAAAGATATTGACCTCTGATACAGCTGGGCTTGGCTAGATCCTATAATTTCAGACTGAATTCCAGTTGATGTGTTGTCAGTGTAAGCTACAGTAGAACAGAGGGTGGTAACAGGAGTATTAATGCTATGGATGCAGCAGCCATGAAGGAAGAAAGACACTGGAGAAACTGGCTGAAAGGAGCTGATAGAGTTTGCCTGCCCCCCCCCCCCCCGCTACCACGATACAACTCTAGTTGTGCTGTTGCCAGCACACTGGTGTGCCCACAGAATTCTGACATCTAAGTTAGGGAGTTAAGGGTAGCACACTAAGTCCCACCGTTTCCATAGCTTGCTCACCGATCTCCTAGCCAAATACTGTCTTGCAAATGCATCCAGTCCATTTAATTCAGTTTTCTATAATGTGTTTTAATGGAATATATTGTGTTGTGGTAGATTTTTCAGGCTATATGGCATGTTCTAGAACATTCTCTCCTGACGTTTGCCTGCATCTTAGGCAGGCATTCTCATAGATGCCTGCCATAGATGCAGGCAAAACGTCAGGAGAGAATGCTTTTAGATCATGGCCATATAGCCCGAAAAACCTACCACAACCCGGTGATTCTGGCCATGAAAGCCTTTGAAAATACAGAGGTCCTTGTGTTGGTCCTATGTTGCAAGAGGATACCTTCTACACAACAGAGCCCTGTAGAATGGCAGGGAGGAGTATCACAAAGAGATGGGAATAGGTCTATTGCCATGCTAACAAAATTTCTATGGAGTGCTTATAACAGCACAGTTGGAGGGCTGCAGGAGGCACAAAAATGGTCAGTGTGTGTATTTATTTTATATGGTATATCATTTATGATGCCCACTCTTGATAAATATGATTTATCACCAGGGCCGGCCCTAGGTAATTTTCAATGGTAAGCAAACATTATTTTGGCGCCCCCTCCCCCCAACCA